ATGATCACATTTATGCAAATGATGACAAAATCGAAATTCAGACAATGACAGACATGTTCAGAGGAGACAAGTGCCAGAGTTTGGTAGGAAAGCCAAAGATATTTATCATTCAGGTAAGATGTCTGTTTCTGAATTCAGTGAAATTAACACTGACTTGTGTCTCCCTGCAATACATGTCAGTTTTCCTGATGCAGTCCTTCCACAAGGCATTTAAGACAAGGATTCTTCTCTTTTTATTAGAAACCCTAATGTATACTCCTGTTATTATTATTACAGCTGTATTTAATAAGTAATTTTACAAAAAGAAACACAAATTAAACCCATGTCAGATCTACTGTCAGTGTTTTTTGCAGCCTCAGCTCAGTTCCTATTGGTCACACTTCACAGCCCAAGGCTAAGCTGATAAGCTATCTACCCTCTGTATCTTCATTGCTTCCTTCCAGGCAAGTCCCTTTACTTGATCCTCAGTCAAGTTGGGTTTCGTGTTTGGCTTTTTTGTCTGTTTTCTTTTTTTTTGTGAGGCTTTTTGGTTGGCTGGTTTGTGTGGTGGTAGTGATTTTCAGTTGTTGGTGGTGGTTGGTTGGTTTTTTTTTGTCTATGACCTATACCTATTTCTCTCTGTAGAATCCAAAGAATCAGATTAAGGCTTTATTGTCTCAGAAACGCTGTTTGTGCTAAGTGGTCAGATAAAGACCATTTGTAACCTGTTCCTTCCCTTGGTTCATGGGAGAATGGAAGTTGGGAGGTACCTCAGGAGGTCTCTGGTCCAGCCTCCTGTTCAAAGCAGAGTTACGGGGTCAGACCAGGTCATGCAGGGCTTTATCCCATCTTTATCCAGACTGCAATTAGCAAACTCATATATGAACCAGCAGACTGTAATTGTCACAGTTTACAGAATAATTCTAAGAATTACCTTTTTTTTTCCCAAATGCAAGCTTCCTCAGGGCACAGGGTTGCTGCAAGAAGCAGTATATTGATAATTCACCTTTCATTAGGACTCATTCAGATTTCCTTTTTTTTTCTTAACCTGGTGCCAAAGATGGAAAAAAATACTTTCATATTTAAAATTTAAGGTCAATGTAATACTTGGAATCACTTATATACTCATCAAAAAGCTAATTAACTTAGTTCATCAGCCGAGTTATTTTCCAGCACAACTGGCATAGCAATTACCTCTGGAAATCAGAAACATCAAGATGAAACTTTATCACTGTAAAGAAGATTCTTTGTGGTTTTTTTTTTTTAGTGGTAGTTCTGAAGTAATGCTCCTTTGTATCTTTTGAGTGTGTTCTCACCTTGTTATCCTCCATGTGTAGCCTTTCTGCTCCACTGACAGTGGCGGGATCACTACTGACTTCTCACAAAAACCTTCCCTCAACAAACACACTTGAGACTGCACTAAGAGCAGAAGTGTAACAGCATGTAATGATGGCTGTGCTTCACAGCAGTAATTCAACACTGCCAAGGGAGGCAATTCTTCCTCTCTACTCAGTAGTGGTGAGGCTGCCTCTGAAGTATTATATCCAGTTCTGAGTTCTCCAGTTAAGAAAAATGCCAACTTAGTGGAGTGAGTCCTGTAAAGGGCCACAGAGATCATAAAGGGACTCTGGAGCATGTTTGATCTGAGGGGAGGCTGAGAGAGCTGGACTGTTCAGCTTGGAGGAGATGGCTCAGGGGAATCTTACCAATGTTCTGAACAGCTGGTGGGAGGGAGTAAGAGGGAGACAGGCTCTTTTCAGTGGTACCCAAGTGACAGGTTAAGAGGCAACTGGAACAAATTAAAACACAAAATTTCACCTCAACACAAGAAAACACTTTTTTTACTGTGAGGTTGTTCAAACACTGGAAAAGGTCACCCACACAGACTGTGGAGTCTCCACCTATGGAGATCCTCAAAAGCTGACTGGACATAGTCCTGGGCAACATGCTGTAGCTAACACTGTGTTAGTCAGGGGGTTGGACTAGATGATCGCAGGAGATCCCTTCCAGTCTTAGTGATTCTGAGATCATCTTCAAGCTTTCAATGGAGTTTGTCCCCAACATCTTAAGTGACAGAGAAATAAATGTGTCTTTCTGAAGGCAGCACCATGGTGATGTGGCACACCTAGCTGAACAGAAGTGCCTCTGGTTAGGGTCAGAATTGTAATATTAACAGTGAGCTCGGCAGGGGTGCAAACATAACTCCACTTCTCACCAACAGGCCTGTCGAGGTGATCAACATGATAATGCAGTGATTGCTCATGATGCAACAGACAGCAGTAAATCCCCTGGCAGTATGACTGAAGTGGATGCAGCTGGCATCTATACTCTGCCTGCTGGTGCAGACTTTATCATGTGCTACTCTGTGGCACAAGGTGAGTTCCAATATTTTACATCCAGTGTCTGATACTTCAGTGTAACAACCCTGAACATGTCTTCATTTTGCAGTCCAAAAAATGAGGACAGTTCCACGTAAATCTGATTCACATGTCTGATAAGTAGTAACTTGTCTGGGAAAGAATGTTGTGTGCTAAAGAAGAAATGAAAGTAAATCACCAAGGTTAAGTTTGCCAAACAAAAGCATTGTCATCAGTCTTGAGGCTGAGCTGCCTCCTGCCAACATCCATCTCTTTTCCAGGATTCTGGTAGCTTATAAATTTCCCTGCACTACATGGCTGTTCTCTCCAGTCCCCCATGTATGTTGTCCTCAGTCCCATCTGCTCTCTAATGAAGCAGAGGTGCAGTCCTGTAAGCTACCAGTCCCTGAATCATGTTCCTCTTAGCTGAGCACCACAAGCGGTACCAAAGCCATTTCCCATCTACAATTTGCAGCGTAATTGGCAAAGTGAGATTTACACCCATTAGTAATTCCTTATAGATGGTAGCTAGCAAACAGGGACTCTCATAAATATTTTTCCAAGAGGTTATCACTACTTACATTTGGATCTAATTTTATGTTCTTTTTCTACTCTAGGCTACTATTCTCATCGTGACATTGTATTTGGCTCCTGGTACATCCAAGATTTGTGTGAGACCCTTAGGGATCATGGATCTTCCGGGGAGTTCACAGAACTTCTTACTGTTGTTAACAGGAAAGTATCAGATCGCACATGGAACACAGGCTATGGTTTAAAAAAACAGATTCCTTGTTTTGCCTCAATGCTAACTAAAAAATTGTATTTTCATCCAAAATCTAAGTAGATTATTTAGCAGTGATGACCATTACTATTACCTGCTGGAGAGAAAAGAATACCATCTTAGTTGAGGAGCTGTAATATTCTACAAGATTGTAAAATCACTGTGATCAAACATTACAGTTTGCATACCTAATAGTTTCTAAAATCTTGAAGCAGTCTTAAAACTAGAATTATACCAGAGAATTCATCTCAGGGAATATGGGAAAAGTTGACTGGGGCCAAAGTATTAGAAGGTACTCAGATTTTATTGAAATTGATGCTTGAAATTGAAATCAATTGAAATTGATTTTTTTTCCTAAAAGCATCTTGCTTCATTGCCATCTAACTATGGCACATTTTACTATTTCCAAAACATTTTTACTGTTCTGTTAGATTAACTTGTCTTGCTCCTAGGGCAGAGTTTACAGGGAATATGGTTTGTAGGACATCTTTTTAAATTTGTGGACAGCAGAATCTACAACTTTTGTAGCTTTATTGGGCTTTTTAGACACTGTATAATTTTCTTGCTACACTAAAAAGGAACTTAATTCCTTGAGTACAACTATAGCATTAATAAAGGATTAATCAAATAGGGTTGATTAATAAAGGGTTTCCTTTTACTTGAATATAATTTATACTTGAAGCACAATTACAGTTTTCTGGTGCTTTACATCCTCAGGAGAAAAACAGCAGTAATGAGATGAGACCATGTACAGTTTGCTCAGGGTGAGCTTGCCTTGTCTGTATCTCTAAAGCTAATGCTGCTGAACATCTCTAGGCAGCTCTACAAAATACAACATGTACACCTTCATACTTCAGGCCTTTGAGTTGCATCAGGCCTCCTCTTGGCCCTGGAGAAGATCAGCCATACCTCTGACCATGTGCCAAAAGTGATGGTGCATGGTCACCACGGGATTGTTACTGCTGCAGTAGTTGTGGTGCTGACTTGAACCAAATATTTCTTTTTTTTTTTAAATGTTATTAATTGTTCCTCTGAGGGACAACAGAGAACTCAGTCTGAGCAAAGTGTCTTATTCCACTTTCCTGGGGAAAAAAATAATTGGTTTACAGGTTCTGCTTTAGTTAAGTCTTTCCATATACAATGTTCTGTCATAAATGCTGTATCTTAGTACACCTGCTTTTAAACAGGTGTATAAATCATATATGTTTGAATGTTTTGATAAATTCTTTCAATACAATGCAACAGTGAAACATAAATGATTTTATAGGAAGTTTGAGATGCCTTACTTTTCCAGCACTAATCCATTTTCCTGGGGGAAAAAATAATCGGTTTATTGCTTCTGCTTTAGTTAAGTCTTTCCATCTACAATGTTCTGTCATAAATGGTGTATCTTACTACACCTGCTTTTAAATGTTGTATGAATCATGCATGTTTTAATGTTTTGATAAATTCTTTCAATAAAATGCAACAGCGAAACAAATGATTTTATAGCAAGTTTGAGATACCTTACTTTTCCAGCACTACTTACTAAGAAAGCTTAACTGTCATGCTAATCTAAACTTGACCTATGGTGTCACAAGCAGTCAAAGCACAGACCAGGGAAAAAGAAACAGTAATTTCAGGAAAAGAATCTTTGCTACTCCATATAGAAGTTAGTTATCCTATGAGCTACTGTTGTGTTACAGTAAATGGTACTAAAGGAGCTGTCCTTGTTTGTTCTGTTATTTTACCAGCAGTAAGAATGCCCCCATTGTACTAATGAGATTTGACAAATATTTAGAAGAACTTTGCTTTAGCAGTTTCTTCATAGAAAAAAGAAAAAAAACCCAGACAAGCAAAACAAACCCAAACCAAAGTAATCAAAGTAACATCAAGCAACCAAATATTTTTTAAAGCTATTTATTGCAACTTTTAAAACTTCAGTGGTAAAAATACCCAGGTGCTATGGAGTAACTGAATGTTCATATCAGCTTTGAAAGGGCATCTCCAATATACACAAACCAAAGTCAGTCCTTGTCATTGATTTCCTGGATGGGAAGCCTCAGGTGCAGAGGCTGCCGCAGACGCCTTAGGGATTCTTCTGCCTGCCAATGACAGAGAGAGGGAGAGTTCATCCTTCTGCAGCCACTGTTTTCTCCTCTTTCACACATGCACTGTCTTTCTTTTCTCAGAAGGCACTGGTCTTAGGCAAGGAACCAAACCAATCAAAGGGAGGATGCTGAACACTGACAGACCTGCTCAACTCATGCAGTCTCCAGAGAGGAGCATGAGCCCTGCCCATCAACCCACTCACCCACACCCCAAAGTATTATTTTCCTGAAATGACAATTTAAAAATCTATACCCCCAAGCCACCGAAAAAGCATCAAACTCTATCATCGTGTCAATTATGGCACATGAAATTACACCCTGAACTATGGGTTTTAAGCTAAAGTTAGAGGTAGTTTCCATTTTCTTTTATGAGATATTGAACACAGGGCTGTCAAGATGGGATGGAGGAGTAATAATTGAGGAGTGAGAGATCTGCTACAACTATTTCATGAAGGCCACCAAATTCCTCCTGGGTGTACATACCACCTTTTCCATCTAGTCACCCATATTCTGTAAATCTTAGTCTTTTACCTACAGAATAAAGGCTATGATGTCAAATGCCAAACACTCTGCAAGGCAATGTCATTCCAAGGAAGGGAGGAGATTGGCCTACCACAGCAGTGCAGCAAACATACTGTGCCCAAAATAAATTCAGCTATTGTATTAAATGGCCAAAAATGCAGCATTAATTAGAGTATGCAAAAAATAGATGTCATACTGATAAACTGATTTGTTTTAAATTAAATTCATGAAGGTCTCCCTTTCTGATGACCTACAGAAATAGTTTATACATCAAAGGCAAACACTGCATGATTAGCTGAGCAGCTGAAACTGGCCAATAAGCCAGAGTTTTGATAGCAAGCCTTGAGGTCAATTTTCTGTTAGCTGAGAGTTTACTGAAGAAGTCTTAAGCCAGAAGCTGCATCATCATTGAAGGACTGCACTCAAATACCTCTGCTAGGTCATCTCTGAGCTTGTTGTATCGTTCCACATTAAACCGCTGCTTTTTGGATTTGCGGTAGAAGTAGTGGAGGAACTGCCTGTCCTTAGCGTGAGGGTAAATGTAGTCCTGGGGAAGGAAGGAGGACATGGATTTGTGGTTAGCAAGGAAACTGAGTAGAGGTCAGCACATTAGAAACTCAGCCTGTTTCAGGAAGAGTTACCTTGCCCAGCACCTATGTATGTTTTGTAAAGAGGCTACATATGAAATTCTGCTCTTAGTGGAGACCATAAGGGCTTTTTAAACACATAGCAGGAGTCACTTCTATCATGTCTGTAGGGATTTTCAGTTATAATAAAGACACAGTGTGATCTTCATGATTGGAGCCACCTCAGCTGATGGAAGCTACTTCCAAGGAGTCAGAGAAAATTCAGGAACTACTTCTTGAGGACTTACCTGAAAGTCTTAAGCAATGGCAAAGGTAGCTGTTTAAAAAAGCCAAGTAGTAATCTCTACCTACTCACAAAAAGTAGGAATTGCTTAGCTCTTCTTAAAAACCAGTCAGAAGGAGTAAAACTCACATTCTGAGCCAGCTCTTCATAAAAACAGATAGATCTCCCTTTTCACTGAAGGAATCTAATTTCCCACATGGTCTATAGATCTACAGGTATAATAGAATAAAGTACTGGTTATTCTTCCACATACTTCAAAAAAGAGTTTTGCATCATAGAAAGTTCAACATCAAGATGTCCACTTTGAGAGTAAAGTACAGAGCTAAAACAGGAAAAAGAAACATTTCTCAAAGTCTGAATGGGATTTCAGAACAAGTCTGTATTGTGAAGCTAAGATCTGAGCAAACCTTTTGCTTCTACACAATGCCTGCCTCATTTCAGCTGTCTTATATTTACCTCCATTCATTCTAAGTCATGGAAAAGCAGACTGATTATGAAGAGTGGAGCAATAACATTTTTTCAGGCACTATATATATTTCAGTATATTTCAGTAATGCAACTGCCAGAGTTCCAAACAGTTTGGTACCCTGCACTGTATATATATATATATATATATATATATATATATATATATATATACATACACACACAAACTTCAGCAAATAAAAACTACTGTTGGGTGATTTGCTGCTGTAAGGCAGCACTCACAGCACTCACAAACTGGCATGGCACTATCAATTGCTCTTCCATTACTGCAGTGAGCAAGGTGCCATTTACTATGCAAAGTAATCTACAAATATTTTAAAGGAGAGACTTCTTTCCTCGCCTTTCATTCCCTAGGTTATGAACTCTTACCAACAGTAGTGATGCTCACTAGCTGGTCAGCAGTTCATGTGCAGCAGTACCTGCTTGATTCTGCGTTTCATCAGAGCTCAAACATTGTGATTCACAGGCTCAGTTTTCCTCCTTTTCCATAACACAGACATTTAGAAGACCAGGACTCACTCACCTGCTTGGTAAGAATGAAGTAGGCATAGAAAGCCATGGCACTGCCGTAGGTGATGAAGTACGTGACAGGCTCCATGATGTCCCACGAGTACACCCACCACGTGAGCCACGCCAGCGCTCCCCCCTGAGTTGACATCAGGGCTAGGCCAACCCATAAAAGCCTGGAGGTTTTTGCATCTGCACTGTCCATGATTCTGGCTTTCATCTGAAGAAAAGAAATGCAGAAACCTGTTCAAATAAACCTGAGTGCGCCTCTGATGAACAGCTCCTGAACTATGTTTTCACTCCCTGGGCCAAATCCTTTCTCAGGATCCCTTACGAAACCTTTTACTGACTTACCCTGCTGAGAAAATAAAAGCACTCAAGTCCAAGGTCTTGCACTGAGAACTCCTGCTATTAATCTCTCCTTGCTGTACTAGGGATCTATGTCTGTTTGATTTCCACTTACCATTCAAAGCAGTTCTGGATAACACTGAGGCTGGCCCTCATAAAGCAGGAGTCCTGTTGTCCCCTACCCTAAGCCATGGATGGCAACCCTACTACACTGGTCTTTTGCTGTCATGGGTATTCAGAACTCATAAAGCAACAGGTGACTTTCAATGACATTTCAACAAATGGCCTTTCAATCTCAATACTAGCCATGTTCATGACCGTTTTCTCCAGCTGTTGTGGTTTCTACCCCATTAAGGTGCACAACAGGAAAAAAAAGAACTGAATTGAAAATAATTTGCATTCTACCTGAGTTGGCTTCTTTTACATAAGAAACAGAACAGACACACCCTATCCATTCATGCTGGTTTTTTTCTGTCACAGGACTTACTTCTGATGAAAGGAAAAACTTTTGAGTTTAAAAAAAGTACCCCCACTTTCCAACCTGTTCAAGAGGCAGCAGCTCTCCTTTCAGATGGTCCAGTTTCTGTAGCAATTCTCTCTCTTTCCTGATCTGGTGATCTTCTACATGTAGAGCCACAAACAGTCTGTGAACCAAAGATTTGATATCTTCCATTTCAGTAGCATGCTCACTACTCAGCTTATCTGAAAAGAAAATATTTGTCATATAAACCATTTCAAGAATACACCCTTCTTCATTCTGTCCCCACCTCCAACCCCAAAAGCAGGACCATCCAAAGGTAAAAAGACAAAGCCAAAGAGAAACACCTTTCTCCCAGGTCTCAGTTTTCTGAGACTTCCCATGCCTTTCACTGAATGAAGTGAGATGATCAGTTATTAAGGATTGCTCTTACCTTTTACAGGAGGTGACACACTGTATGCTGTGTTGTTGATAACAAGCTTAAAGTCATTCATCAATAAGACCTCCATTAAGGTTGCATCAGAGACCTTGCTACCATCTGCAGAAGAAAGATTTCAGTTCTAGATCACTTATCATGAGGAGCTTTAAACATTAGCAGATAACCCTGCAGAAAAGCGCACTAACAATGTTTGGAAGCAACTCTACGTTTAGAACTAGTAACAAATACTCAACAGTCAGGAGGAACACAGGGTGTGATTCATGATGCTGTCCTGTGCAGGGAATGGAGGTGAAGTTTGACGCCCTGGAAAACCCTTTTCTACCTTTTTTTTTTTTAATGCAGAAATTTACATGAATGGTACCCCACAGATTTTACATGCAATTTTACAGCTCCTGCCAGAAAGGAGCTCTGGATAAATTAGCAGGAACTTCTACTCAGGTAACAGTGGCTGCCAGAAGCACACTGGGGTTCAGATGGCCCAAGAGCCCCCAGAGCCACACACCACTGCTGCTGGACACATCAATGTGGCAAGAGGGTTTGAAAAGCCATGGAGCAGCTGCCCCACTGTAGCTGTTTGAGATGATTCTCCTTTTCTATACACAAAAAGGGCACCTTCCCCTGCCCTTGCCAAGGGCTAGGCAGCCTTACTCCCAAGATGAATAACCAAACAGGCTACAAAATGCCAAGATTTTTGTATGTAGATGTTCGTCACAGTGCTACTGCCCCAGCTCTCCACCTGTCCTCACACATGCACTACAGAAAGGCTCCCCAGCTAACCCCACATCTGCAATTATTTGTTCACCAGAACCCTGTCCTCAGGCCCCATCTGATGAGGCTCAGACTACTGAACTCTGCAGGCAAACACCCCAGCTGGCTCACCTGCCCACTCTGTGTGGGTAGCAAAGCAAACCCAGAAGCTGATCACTTTCAATCCAAAATTGTAATGTGCCTATCCACTCGTTTCTTTTTTCTTTTCTAGTGTAATAATCAAGGCTCATTTGCATGCACATTATTAAGGTGACATTTATAATTCTTTCTATAACATTTAAGGAAAAAATGCTCTTCAAAAGAAGTGTCAAGAGAGGCTCTTTGTTCTAGATGTTCTGAATACACCAGTGATTTATTAACCTGTGCAATCTTATAATAACTGAAAAGAAGTTTTGAGGAGAGGGAGGTATTTTATTTTAGAAAATTCCTCTCAGTCTTTAAGCAAAGGCTACTTTGTAGCCTTCTGTACCTAAACATGATTGTTCCAATGTGGGTAAAGGGTAATTTCTTTTGTCTACAAAAGGTTTCCAGGATGAAAGTCAAATCCACAGATAATGAAAACGAGTCATCATACACAGCACTGATGACTTCAGTTAAGGTTAGGTTTCATTTAACGGTTAAATGACACAGAAGTGTGTCTGCACTAAATCAAGACTTCATAATTATTCCTTAATAATTAATGTTTAAGTTCAACTCTCAGTACTTGACCAATAGTTTCTCTTTACAGTATCAGTTTCCTAATAAATTAAACATCTCAGCTGTTCTATAACATTACAATTGCCTGGCACTTGACAAATGCAGAGCAAAGAATTATTGAGTCAGTGTTTTAATCTAAGTATTCCCAAATCAGAGGGGATGGGGGTGTGTTTAAACAGATCAGATGAGGTGAAAACAACTGAAATTCATCTCCACTTTGCAATCTGCTGCCTGTCCATGTCAAAAATACCAGACTTGTAGGTTTCTTACAGGAATGACCTCATGCTTCACAAGGGACCCATGTTTGCACTGAAGCAGAAATAGTTACCTTTTGCAGACACAGCAGAGAGCAAAGCAATCCAGCAGTGAATCCCAAACTCTCCTGTCCTGGATGTCTGCACAACAGCAGTACCCAAAGGTTACTGCTGCCAGCACAAGTTCTACCCCACCCCACTAAGAAATCCTCTGTAGGGAAAAAATTCTGTGCTAAGGGGAAGGCCAGCTGCTCACAACAATCATTTCCTACAGTGGCTTCTGAAGATAAAGAGTCTTTTAAGAAATTATCTTCAAGAGAATTTTCTATTTTTGCTCCCGAGCAGACACTGTCAAAACAAAGCAAAACAAGACCAAAAAAACCCAACACCAAAGCTCCTGTGTACAGGAAGTTCCTGAAGCTCATGTCCACACTGGGCTCCACACAGATCACATCTCCATTGCTCCAGAGGATATCAATAAATTGTTCTGTGGAGTATCTTACTGTTTTACTAAATGTGCCCACAAAGGAAAGTAAAGCATCTTCTCTTAGTTCTGTGGCTTCCAGACCTTCTGGGAACATCCACCTATTTTCAGTTTCTTTAAAAGCCCCTGCAGCCCTCTGTAAGTATGAGCCAGAAAGAAAAGAATGTTATGAATCCACCCATGTGGATGTTACGAAACCAGACCAGCTTCCATTGACACCACCCTTTATTCTGCTTATGTGTTACCTGCTGTTAAACAAATCTTTCCGTAGATATGTATGTATCCTTATTTTTCTTTCTTTTGAGGGGTGTGAGTAGGGGAAGAGGAGGAATAGATGCTTTTAATTAGCCAAATTCAAGTGCCTATTCTACCAGATTCAGAAAAAAACTCTACATTCCAATTCTAGCTTTAAGATTGAATCCTTCTCTAGTACCATGGCAGCGGTTGCAAGAGCACTGCCAAAATACAGACCAAGTTTTCTTGGAGATAAAATGGAGAATAAGGTTAATTCAATACTAGTTTCATCAATGAGCAAACCAAAGAGACAAAATAGAACAGTGAGCAGTGCTTGAGAAAATTATCTAAAGACTTGGGACAATGGGATAAACAGGATATTACAAGGAGGAAAGACCACACCAATGCTAAAATACCAGTTATTCTTTGATCCTAGCAATCAGGTTCCTTTAACCCAAGGGCCCTGAAATATTGTATTCTAGCTGATAGATGAAATCTCCTCAATGTCTTAAAAAGTCTGTCCTTTACTATTGTACACCTTATCTGGTTGCTTAGCTCTTGAGTTTTTCATACACAAGTTTGTATTGTAGTAAGGCAAATGGATTCTTTTAGATCATGGTAACACTGAAGAACTGGCAGGCATCACATTCAATGGCCTGACAGGTTGTCTTTCAAAAATGATCACGGAGGACAAGGAAAGAAAGACTGAAAAAGGTAACAGAGGACACTACCAGGATAAAAGGAGAGTTCCAGTAATAGATCCAATTCTGTATTTTTAATCAGCAACAGTGCTAAACCTGTCGGAGGACTGAACTTATGCTGCAGAAGAGAAGCACAGTCCATTTGAAAAGGAATGCATTTACCTCAGGGAATAACAGAAGTACAACATACCTGTTGCAAAGACTTCAGCTCTCTCAATTCCTTTATCTTCTCTTTGCACATCCTGCAGGAAAGCTCCTACAGTGGTCACTACTGGCTTGACAGTGAACTGACAGCGTTCACTTCTTGTGGGCAGCATAAGAGTTATTACAGGAAGACCATGTCTGTAATTAATAGTTACTTCTGGGGGATAAAAAAAGAAAACTAAGTGAAAAAGTTGCATTGTAGATTGTAGCTTAATGTAAAGCTGCTTTTTAAACAGAGGATAAACAAGAAAAATTACATAAAACATTTCCAGATTTTAAAACATTAATATAGTATTTCTATTTCTGGAAGATATATATAAAACCAGGCAACTAATGTGACCTCGCAGACTCTCATAAAATAAATACAAAGCTGGCTGGCACAGACGGGAAGGGGAAAAAGTTGCTGTGAAAGCTTACCATCAGATGGCACCAGCGCGCTGTAAGGTGCTCCTTCCCGGCCCCTCCAGGCTCCGGCGTGCCTCCAGAGCCCCACCTGCAGCACGGACACAAGGGAACTTGCCTTAGGACAGTCAGGATGCAAAGCGCACCCGGTTAAAGGCAGCACCCAGCCTGTCCCGGTGATCTGCTTCCGTGTGATCTGACATCAGAGGTGTCTGCCTGAAGAAAAACCCCTTACTTGGCAGTTCTATGAGAAACATGAAACCATCCTTATAGAAAGCATGATTTCTGCTAAAGGCATTACGGTATTGCCCATAGAAAAACTTTTTGTCTATTGTGGTTTAATTAACTCAAGGAAAAAAGAGTAGAGGGAAAAAAGAAACAAAAAAATCTGCAATGTTTCTGAAGTGCTTCATGCAACTCTTGCAATAAAACCTCTCCTCTCCCCACAAAACAGTCACTTGAAAAACCTCTACCTTGTGGTGCCTAAAGGCAGAATTCCACAGGTTAACTTCCAACAGAGGGCATGGCTTCAGAGAAAACTCGCTGCTGAGTCACGAACAACAATCACAAATAAAATAAAGGGCCTGAGGTCACTACCTCTGCCCTGGGACAGCAATGACAGCAGGTTTTTGAACCTGCAGGGTCCAAAAGCCAAAGCTTGCCCCTTCCAGAGCCACTGGGGAGAACCATCAGTAGCCTTCAACACAGTCATATCAAAACACAGAAGACAAACTGCTCTGATTAAACCCAATACTTAAAGCTGTCTACCCAGGCTGTGGAAGGTGCAATGTCCTTTGCACCCACAGCTAATCCCCCTGCACAAGGACAATTTTATTGCAGCAATTCCACAGAGCAGATGTTACTGCTATAAACTAAGAGTAACGGGTAAAAGAAGGGAAATCACATCCCTGCCCAAGCCAGTTACAAAAACCACACATGGGCGGGACCAAGGCCTGGGATTTGAAATATGAGAGCTGGGGAAGGTGGAAAACAAGGTGGAGAGAGATGATAAGGATCGATTTTCCCCCGGTGAGCTTTATAGCTCATCTTTCTGAAGGCCAAAACACTTCAGTCTGCAAGATAATGTTCTCTGACAAGGCAGGAAAACAAAACTGTAAATGCACAAGGCCCTGGCTATTCAATATGCCAAACACTGCTCACAACATTCACATGATTTATTTGTTTTTAAAGAAATACAGCCTTGGCTGTCTGGATAGGGATATGCTTTTAGGTTAAATAAAAAAGTAATCTATAAATGAATCTGTGTGTTTCAAAGATGCTGACACTGCCCTAACTTTTTACCTGGAACCAGTACTTTTTGGGATTTAAAGTAAGTAATTCTGAGTGTTTTCAATACTGAGAAATTTGTGTGTTGTAATCATCAGTGATCAAAGACAATGAGAAACCTAGACCAAAGAGCAGAATTACTTAAACACAGAAGTATTGCTCAAAGAAAGGCAGACAGCAGGAGCATGGGAATGCTGACAGCCCCCCAGAGCTAAGGATGCATCTGTTTCTTGTGCAGAGCAAGATTCCTTCACTGGAGCAGGCAGGACACAGCCCAGCCCACCAGTTCTCATCCCATTTGCAGGGGCACCTGCACCCACCAAACATTTAGGAACACACAGCCTGGAGCAGGGAGACAGCCCTCAGAACAAGATCTGCTTTGGAATGGTGTGCAGGAAAACTCAACAGCTTTGAACACAACAGCAACTCGTTTCTCCATGGGGATATAAAGGGATAATAAGGAACTAATTTTATAACACTCAATGTGTAACTTTGCAACCAGTATCTAGATACTGATCATCCAACATGTCCCAGGCAATGAACTGCACCCTGCCTGTATCTGAAGGTTACCCAAATTCCCAACAAAAGGAATTAATTATATACTTTACTTATAGAAGAAACAATTCAACAATTAATGCAAAATAAATATATTAATATATCAATTTAAAATACTTATTAAATCAAATTTATTGAAATAAGATCTTTACAGTAGTTCATTCTATTATTCTTTAGATTTGACATTACTATTCATCATCCACTGAAAGAATCTCTATATACTGGAGCTGTTTTGGTGTTTAAATTGTGTCTAAATGCAGAGTATCCTTTAAAATCACATGCAAAGAATAAGAAAAGTAAAAGCCATAGAGCCATGGAGTTGAAATAATTTCCAAATAATTAACTCTTTCATATTAGCTCTAGGTTGATGAATTGGGAAGCATGAAGGGCTGGGTTAACTTTATCCCTCTGTTTCCAGATTTAAATCTCCGCTTTCAGTGAAGTCATTAAACCATTAGCTTGTGTCCTACAGCCAAATCATTGTGCTCCTTTTGAGAGGTTGTAGTGACCCCTATCCTACCCCTGGAAAACAAATGTTAGTCAGCAAGCATTGCAGCTACAAGGAAGACTTGAACTATGGGACCAAAACAGAGAGACTGCCCTCACAACAACACCAGTGAGAGCTGAAACAGGAACGTGTGCCCTGAATTAACTGCATCACAAGCCTTGAGATACTGTAAGGAGCACAGCACACTGCTAACAACTCTTCTCTACGCCAGTGTGTGCCTCTGGGCTAATTCCTCTAACCCCACAAAGGCTAAGCAAGCTATTCTACAGCTTTCTGCAATTTGCACACACATGTGGCAGGACACCTGGCTAAAACACCTCTGACACAACCCCAGGTACGTTCAGGAGTCAAAGGCTGATGAACAGCATTTAGCTGCGAAACACTCCTCCTCCCTCAGCTATACCTGCAAAATACATATACATATTATATATATAATGCAAAATATATGGGAGCAGAAGTTGGCCTCATCTCTTAACTCAGTTCAAGGCATGGACTCTCCTGGGAGTGAAAACTCTTAAGAATTTAAGGCATAGAGTGTTAATTGTGATAAAAATAATCCAACATATTCTGTTAAAAATACCAGTTGGTATACACCAGAAAATATATATGCAATGTAAAGACATACTTCCTCTGTTAAGGGCACCTCTGGTCTCTAACAGCAGAAAAGTTGCCACTATTAAAAGTCAAGAGTGGAAATTTCAACATTTTTCTGTTGGTTTACAGCAAAGTTTTAGGGACTTATGCAGCAGCATAACTGAGCTGGAAAACCAGGCAGCCAGACATGACAAGTGGGAGAGACTGGAATAGAAATACTGTATTTGTCACTTTTGAGAGTGGCAAATGACTGAACCTCCCTACACTGCAGTTTCTGGAGCTGGCAGTTCCAAATAATCTACTTCTTATGATTTTGAGTGATTGTTCCCACAAACTTAAAACTCAAATTCACTTGTGACAGGTTATGTCTAAAAAAATTGGTCTCATTACCAGTATATGAGGTGACATGAATGCCTCTGATCTTGCTCAGCACTACATATGCAAATAGTAACCTCATCAGGAACCATAACTTCTGTTTTGTAGAACATTATAATGTGAGTGGGAAGAGAGAGAGAATAGAAATAAAGTATTTTTCACACAAGAAAGTCATCTTGAAGATGGAATTCTACAAAAAGATGTTATAAGGACACTTTCCGAGAACACTTTCTGAATTATTGCTTACTTAATTTTGAGTTACCATACCAAAATATTATAATAAATCTTTTTCATTGTATTGTTCAAATTGTATTGAATCAAAATGCAGTTAGCCAGGAATCATATCTTTGAAATTTTTGTCCTTGCTTATATGCATCTTGGAAGATATGGTAGCTTTTGTTTGTTATTTCGACAGCAATAAAAAATTTAATACTCCTTCAACATTTGAGTCCCCAGTATTTTGCATTTATTAGAGAAAGCAACCAAAAAAGAGTCAGCTCAACTGTGTCTGCTCTCTTCCTGAAGGGACATGCAATACTACAAAGTGAAACACTATAATCCTTCAGTGTGAGATCCTTTTGAGATTGCCTCAAGTCAAACTCATGGGTAGTCCTCACAAAAAATAATGCAGACTGTTATGTGAATGGTCTCCCACATTTCATTCCCTTCTCTCTGAGGCAATGATAAGAATCTGATATGGAAAAGCACAATAATAAAATGCCCTACTCCACAAAGCACAAGCATTTTACCCTTAATTACACTGCAGCAAAACAGATTCTAAATAAAACACATCTTGCAGTGTGCTTTTCCATAGTGATGTAGAGCTACAGGCAGAAGAGGAGAGCTCAGTTATCTCCTGGAGTCCTTGTCCGACACCTGGTACAGCTCCCTCACACAGCTACTGAAGAGGACTGCAGGAAAGGAGCAGGAAGAGACAATTCATGGGGAAAACTAGCAGTTGTAATGCCTACAAATGAATTTTGGGGCCTTTTTTTGGGGCCTTTTTTCCCCCTGAGTGTCACCAGACAAGCCAACACTCTCAGTCAGTATCCATCGTTCTCCTCATGTGCTGATCTCACCCAGTCTGTGAAGCAGAGAGCAGGACAAGTCACCTCCCTGGATGCTGCCTGCTTGCAAGCGCAGGAGAAACACGAGGGCAGGTACACATTCAGTGAAGGCATGTGCTATAAATAGCTATGTATATTTTCCATAGTGACTTACATGTTTTTCTGACAAACACACTTAGAAGCTCCCTGCAGATGAATGATGTCAGCTCCCGTCTGATTCTTTGAGGGAAACCAACCAAGATCAATTAATTATGGACTAACAATCTGTAGTTTCAGAATAATCTACAGACATTTCAGAACGGTTTAAAACCAAGGGAAAGGAGGAAAAAAAGCAAGGGCTGCCACAGTCTACTGAGCTTGCAGATCATGCACTGCCAAGCTAACCAAAAATGAATCATTGTTCCGATCAAGTTTACAAGAAGTACACATAAGGTATTTCCCTTTTTAAAATGAGTCACTAAGGCCGTTTTGGAGATATCTGCTATTAAATTTCTGTGCTGATTCTGTAAGCAATCCTACATGATCAGGAAAATAGGACATATGGAGCCCTAACAACCACCTACAATCATCTTGCGAGTGCCCATTTGAGACACAGACGATTTCTCTCTTATTAACTTTTCATTTGTCTCTTCTTTCACTCAAAGGGTTGTCATTTTTCTTTGCTGGTCCCAGAACTGATTTAGATGATCATGCAACAATAGCCTC